TAAAAACATTATATCCCACAGTAGAATACGCATTCTTCTCAAGAACGCATCCACAATAGATCAAATGTAAGGCAACCAAACAAGTCTTAACAAATTTAAGACGACTGAAATGATGGCAAGCATCTTTGCTGATCACAATAGTATAAAACTAGAAGTCAATAATAGGTGGAAAAGTGAAAAATTCACAAATAGGTGGAAATTAGCCAACACTCTTGTATAATCAAAGAAGAAATCAAAAGAGTAACTAAAAATTATCTTGAGACAAATAAAATAGAAACATAGGCTGGGCACGGTGGCTCGAACCTGTAATCCTAACACTCTGGGAGGCCAAGGCAGGCGGCTCAAGGTCAGGAGTTCGAAACCAGCCTGAGAAGAGCCAGACCGCGTCTCTACTATAAAAATAGAAAGAAATTAACTGGCCAACTAATAAATACAGAAAAAATTAGCCGGGCATGGTGGCACATGCGTGTAGTCACACCTACTCGGGAGGCTGAGGCAGCAGGATCGCTTGAGCCCAGGAGATCGAGGTTGCTGTGAGCTAGGCTGACGCCACGGCCCTCACTCTAGCCTGGGCAACAAAGCGAGACTCTGAATCAAATAAATAAATAACATACAAAAACTTGTGGTATATGATAAAAGCAGTTCTAACAGAAATCTCTATAATGATACATGGCCACATTAAGAAAAAAAGAAAGATCTCAAATAACCTAATTTTATATCTCAAGGAACTAGAAAAATATAAACTAAATCAAAAGTTAGAAGGAAAGAAAGATTAGAGCAGAAATAGATACCAGAAAAAAAAAAAAAATCAACAAAACTGAGGGCTGGTGCATTTTTTTTTTTTTTTTTTTTTTGAGACAGTGTCTTATTCTGTTGCCCAGGCTGGAGTTCAATGGTGCAATCATAGCTCACTGCAACCTTGGGTTCCTGGGCTCAAGTGAAATTCCTGCCTCAGTATCTCAAGTAGCTGGGACCACAGGTGTGGCTACCATGCTTAGCTAATTTTTTTTTCTTTTTTTAAGAGACAGGGTCTGGCTATGTTAGCCAGGCTGGTCGTCAATTCTGGGGGTCAAGTGATCATCCTGACTCAGCCTCCCAAGGTGCTGGGATTACAGGCCTGAGCCAACATGCCAAGCTCAAAAAGCTGGTGTTTTGAAAAGACAGACAAAACTGAGAAACCTATACCTGGACTAATCAAGAAAAAGAGAAAGACAACAAATAAAATAGTAATGAAAGAAGAAACACTACCATGAGTGTCTAGAAAGACAATGAACCATAAGAGACTACCATGAACAACTATCTGCCAATTAGTTGGATAACCTAGAAGAAATAAATTCCTAGAAATATGCAACCTCCAAGATTGAATCATAAACAAACAGAAAATAAGGACAGATCAAAAATGAGTAAGAAAACTGTATCAGTAAACAACCTCCCTGTAACTAACAAAGATAAATCCAAGACCAAATAGCTTCACTAGTGAATTCTACTGAACGCATAAAGAATTAATGCTTCTCAAACTCTTCCAAAAAGTTGAAGAACTTTTGCAAATTTGAATATTTTAAACTCACTTTACAAGGACGCTATAAGAAAACTACTGGCCAATATCCTCACTGAACATAGATGCTAAAATCCACAACAAAATACTAGCAAACTGGCCAGGCACGGTGGCTCACGCCTATAATCCTAGCACTCTGGGAGGCCGAGGCTGGCGGATTGCTCGAGGTCAGGAGTTTGAAACCAGCCTGAGCAAGAGCCAGACCCCATCTCTACTATAAATAGAAAGAAATTGGCCAACTAAAAATATATAGAAAAAATTAGCCGGGCATGGTGGCGCATGCGTGTAGTCCCACCTACTCGGGAGGACGAGGCAGCAGGATCGCTTGAGCCCAGGAGATCGAGGTTGCTGTGAGCTAGGCTGACACCACGGCACTCACTCTAGCCTGGGCAACAAAGCGAGACTCTGTCTCGGGAAAAAAAAAAAAAAAATACTAGCAAACTGAATTCAGCACATTAATAGAATCACTCATCATGATCAAGTGAGATTTATCCCTGAGATACAAAGATAGTTCAACACATACAAATTAATCAATGTGATATACCACATTAACAGAATAAAGAACAAAATTCTTAGGATCATCTCAATAGGTGCAGAAAAAGCATTTGACAAAATAAAACATCTTTGCATAATAAAGACTCAACAATTTCAATATAGAAGGAATATATCTCAACATAATAAAGTCATATATGGCAAGCCCACAGCTAACATCATACTTAACAGTAGAAATCTGAGAGCTATTCCTCTAAGATCAGGAATAAGACAAAGGTGCTCACTGTCACAACTTTTATTCAACATAGTACTGAAAGTCCTAGAAAAAGCATTTAGCAAAAAAAAAAAAAAAAAAAAAAGGGAAAAAAGAAATAAAAGGCATCCAAATTAGAAGGAAAGGAGTGAAATTGTTTGTGATATGATTTTACATATGGGAAATCCTAAAACTCTAAAGACTCTACCAAAAACTTAGACCAAGTAAACAAATTTGGTTACCTTTTGTTGCAGGATACAAAAATCATTTGTTTCCATATGCTAACAACAACCTATCTGAAAAAGATATTAAGAAATAAGAAAACAATCCCATTTAGAATAACATGAAAAAAATTACAAAGGAATAAATTTATCCAAGGAGGTAAATAATCTCTATACTGAAAGCTATAAAACATTTGATGAAAAAATTGAAAAAGACACGAACAAATGGAAAGATATCTGGTGTACATGTGTTGGAAGAATATTAAAATGTCCACAGCACCAAAAGCAACACACGAATTCCATGCAATTCCTATCAAAATTCCAATGACATTCTATAGAAGTAGAAAATAAAATCTTAAAATTCATATGGAACCACAAAAAACCCTGAACAGCCAAAGCGATCTTTTTTTTTTTTTGAGACAGAGTCTCACTTTGTTGCCCAGGCTAGAGTGAGTGCCGGGGCATCAGCCTAGCTCACAGCAACCTCAAACTCCTGGGCTCAAGCAATCCTACTGCCTCAGCCTCCCGTGTAGCTGGGACTACAGGCATGCGCCACCATGCCTGGCTAATTTTTTCTATATATATTAGTTGGCCAATTAATTTCTTCCTATTTATAGTAGAGACGGGGTCTTGCTCTTCTTCAGGCTAGTTTCGAACTCCTGACCTCGAGCAATCCCACCCGCCTCGGCCTCCCAGAGACCTAGGATTACAGGCATGAGCCACCACACCCAGCTGGGCTGCACTTTTATTAACTGCTAGAGTCCAGTGAGAGAGAACACTCACACATGAAGCAATTTATTTCTCACAGATAACCAGAAAGGGACAACAGGAGCCTAGGATTCAGGACCACATGTCCCCCAAGAATCAGAAAAAGCTGCCCAGGGTGGATGGAGTCTCATCCGTGTGTGCCCCACTTGCACAGCAACTGAGGAACCTAGGAAAGCAGTCCACCTGGGTTTCATACTGTAGGGCAAGGTGACTTACTGGGCTAAAGCATTGAAGAACATACCGTTTCTAAGGGGGAAAAGAACAGAGTCTAGACTAGTCTAGTCAGTTCCTCCTTATCTCAGGATAGTGCACACCCAGAATTATTAAACGGGGTTTTTTGTTGTTGTTGTTGACACTAATCAAAAGAGAGCTGGAATAACGGTTATTCTTGGGAACTAAAAGTGAGAAAGGAAAGAACTGGGTTGGCCCAAGTCCACAGGAAAAACAATCTACATAGTCTCTTCAATAAATCATGCTGGGAGGTGGATATCCATATACAGAAGAACAAAACTGGACTCTTATCTCACAGCATATACAAAAATCAACCCAAAGGACACACAATGGTGGCTCACACCTGTAATGCCAGTGCTTTGGGAGGCCAAGAGTTTGAGACCAGCCTGGGCCACATAGACCCATGTCTCAAAAAAGAAGAGTAGAGAAGGTAATGGCAGAACCGGGGGAAAAACTCCATTTTGTAACCTCCCAGCATAAAACCATGTTCACACAAAGACCAACAAGTGACTCCAAAACCACTGGGTAAAAGGCTGTTGGGGAACAGATTATTCCCATTGTCAAAATATAACTCAAAGATTACTGTAAGAAAAATGTGATTATACAGATATCAGCACCTTGACCAAATCCTTAGCATCACTAACAAACCTACATTATGCACCTCCTGATGGAATGCAATATGAAATACACAATATTGCTAGGAAATTTTCAAGGCTCTTGTTCAGTGCAGTCTAACTCAGTAACCACTACCTCGATGTGGCTACTGAGAACATAAAATGGGGCTAATGCAATGGAGGAACTGAATTCTTAATTTTACTTAAAGTTTAAAAATAAGCAGCCGGGCGCGGTGGCTCATGCCTGTAATCCTAGCACTCTGGGAGGCTGAGGCAGGCGGATTGCTCGAGGTCAGGAGTTCGAAACCAGCCTGAGCAAGACCCCGTCTCTACTATAAATAGAAAGAAATTAATTGGCCAACTAATATATATAGAAAAAATTAGCTGGGCATGGTGGCACATGCCTGTAGTCCCAGCTACTTGGGAGGCTGAGGCAGAAGGATTGCTTGAGCCCAGGAGTTTGAGGTTGCTGTCAGCTAGGCTGACGCCACGGCGCTCACTCTAGCCTGGGCAACAAGTGAGACTCTGTCTCAAAAAAATAAAAATAAAATAAAATAAAATTGATTCAATTATTGAAAAACTTTTAAGTATGTTTGTAACAACCTGGGCTTGTAAATCTAGTTTTTTAATTATAAATTTTATGGACTCTAAATACAGACCAAGAATTTCCAATAAAAATTAGGATCCATGGTAAGATGTGCTGTATTCATTTTACAAAAGAAATGTAAAATGGAGGCGGAGGTGAGTGGATTGTGCCACCATGCCCAGCTAATTTTTTCTCTATGTATTTTTAGTTGGCCACTTAATTTCTTTTTATTTATAGTAGAGACAGGGTTTCGAACTCCTGGCTCAAACAGTCCACTCACCAACATTGACTATTTCCTCTACCACCATTTTTGAATGGTCATCTTATCTTGTGTAGAATTTACTGAGCACCAAACAGAACTCCGCAAGAATACCATCAACTGCCTCACTGCTCACCTCCTTCAGGCCTCCCTTTTTACTGTGCACCAACGTTTTCCTTTCAACTCAAAGTTCTCAACCTCTTCTACGGAGAGCCCCGTCCACAACAAGATACTTGGCGGCCTGTGCTTTTTCCCCAGGTGCGTCCTTAAAATTTTGGCTTAATAAATCTCAGGTGAGTGTGACTTTCGTTTTCAGTTACTTATTATTTAACAAACTCAGAAACAAATACCTAGAAGAAAACCCACCTGTCAAAACTCATCTTGCTATTCATTATCGACTTAATTCCAACTTCTGGTACTAACAAAAATAAGCCTGCATTGTCTTCCTAGAGGACCTCTCCCCCCATATTGAAGCTCTGGGGGGGTTACAGGGCTCTGAGGTGATGACTTGAGACTACAGCCGAGCAGTCCCGCTTTTCCTCAGTCATAAATGTGGTCTTTATATGCATTCACCCGTGCATTTAATTTTACCAGATAAGCGCGTTCCCTACTAACCTGAAAAGGTTTATCTTTCCGCCAGAATGTAATTTTAGGGGCCAGCCAGAACCACTACATCAGGTGCTCACGGGGACGCCACAGAATTGCCAGGTCGCTGAGGCCAGGAGGAAGGCGGGGCCGGAGACGGCGGAGATGCTTTTCCGTCTGGAGAAAGAGCACAAAACTTGCCACCGAGCCTTTTGCAAAGGGGAGCGCGTCACGGGGAGCGGCCGCTGCGACCCGCCTCCTCCCGGGGACCGACCCTGGAAGGCGGAGCTGGCGGGGACTCTCGGAGGAGGGGCCGCGCGCCGCTGGGGAGAGCCAGCGGGCGGCCGGAGCGGCCCGACTGCGCACGGGGACAACTACGTGTCACCCCGCGACGCCCCTTTGCATCCTCCCACCCCCGCGCGGCGGCACCTGGGCAGCGCCCCACGCCAGGGGGGGAGACGAAAACTCACTACAGACGCCGGCGGGAGCGCGCGGCTAAGATGGCCGCCGGGACGTGCACACGCGCACGGCGCCGGAAGGGGCGGGGCCTGGGAGGGCGGGACTACGAGGAACAGCTGCGGCTGCTTCCAGCTGCCAGCGGAGGAGAAATGTCATTGATTCCTACCTCCCGGGAAGAAAACGAGTTGTAAGTATTAGATCAAGACAAAAATATCCATAGGAAATAGGGATATTTTCCATATTTGGAAAGCTATTTTTATGGACAGTTTTCCATATGGATGGCTATTTATATATGAAGTCCCAAATAATGAACTGATAGCTATTATTCATGAACTGACAGCAGATAGGCTGCGTGGCCACGCCCATCACTAGGTCTTATTTTCGGGGTAGGGCTTATATTGTGCAAATGCTTAGAAATCCTGGTGGGCACTTCTAGCAAAGTTTCCAGGTGAAAAGAACTATTTAAATTATTATCAAAGGCTTTCCTCTAGAAGAGCAGTAACCAGTAAAATAATGAAAGAGAAAACTAAAGCTTTTTTTTTTTTTTTTGAGACAGAGTCTCACTTTGTTGCCCAGGCTAGAGTGAGTGCCGTGGTGTCAGCCTTAAAGCTCTTAAGAAGGACTGAATGAATGCAAAGGAGAGTCTGTCTCACAGATTGCTGGGCTGAGCGTTGCATGTATGTCCTGTGCACAGGGCTGTAGCAACGTGGAGAAAGACAGGTAGGAGCACAATTGCTGGGATCCCCTATTCCTTGGCTGAAGGGAACTTGGATAGGAGGTCCTAACATTTGCACCGCCCCTAGGCCTAGTCAAGCCCCGCCCCTGGCCCTCATCTCCGCCCCCTAGGAATTGTCAACCAATCCCTGTCCCTCATCCAGGCTCCACCCTGAGCCCCGCCCCTTGAAATATTAAAAGAGCCACGCCTCCAGGCCCAGCTTTGCCCCGGTCCCGCCCGAGTCCCTATCCGCCGAATGAGCCAACGAGGCGTTTTCACAGCCTAGTCCTCCCCTCCAGCCTAGTCCACGGTTCTAATTCTTCTCTCTTTACCTCCAATCCCTGAAGAAATTGGCATTTCTCATCCACTTGCGGCCAGAACCGGCCTTCGCACTCCTTGGGACTCGCCACGCGCCTCCCACCCCAGCCTCGAGGTCCCCCGGCCCGAGGCCCCGCCCCTAACGTTGTGGGCGGGGCCGAAACCGAAATACGGACTGCGCGTATGCGCATGCGCGCGCCGGCAGCCATGTCACCTTGCGCCTCCGCCCGGGTCTGAGGTGCATGTTTACCTCAGCGGGGTTAGTATGTGGCCGGGCCCTGTCCCGCCCGCCCGCTAGAGGCCGAGGAGTCGGCCTGAGGGTCTGAGGTCAACGGGAGGCCTCCTAGCTGGCCCTCGCCCCTCCCGCCGGGACTCTGCGCCCGGGGCCTCCCCTGGCCGCGCTGCCTCCGCTGGGAGCCCCGGGTCAGCTCCCCCGGCGGCCGCGGCTCGTCCGGAACTTACTGAGTCGGGAACTCGGGGCGATTCTGCTGCAGGCTGGAGCTGGAGACACACTGTTGTATTTAATCGCCCCCCCCACCCCCAAGCATCCTCTGCTCTCTTTCCAGAAAGAAAAAGCATCTCTGACATTCGGGGTCTCGGGGACAAGCGCCTGGACCTCGTTCTCTCGGCGCTGATCTGTGGATCTCGGCGTGTCGGGTGAGCACCGGGTGACATTTGTCTCAATTCAGTCCCCAACTCTCCCCTCTTGATGCATTAGAGGGTATTTTAGCCTGTGCGTCTTACTCTGCTTGTGGGCATCAGTTTGATACATTGCGTTCAGGTGCATAGAAGGGAATTTTATTGATTGATTGATTGATTGATTGACAGAGGGTCTTCTTCTGCCACCCCAGGCTGGAGTGCAGTGATCCGTTCATGGCTCACTGCAGCCTGGTACTGCTGGGCTCCAGCGATTCTCCTGCCTCTGCTTCCCAAAATGCTTGGATCACAAGCGTTTACACCTGTCATTACACCGCGGCCCCCAAGGACCTGCTTTTAAAAAAATACCTTGTTAACCCTCCGCCTTGCCAAATGCATTTTGTCATTACTAAAACGATACGTTTAAATCATGTCTCTATAGAACCGTTACATTTCAGACACAAAATCTCATCATCTGACAGTTTCAACTTGTTCCTTTTTTTTTATTCCTTGGGGTTTCCGTTTCTTTTTATTTCTTTACTGCACTTACCAGGACCTTCAGTTCAAGGTAAAATAGTATATAATTTGCATCCTTGACTTGTTTCTGATCACAGAGGGAAATATTTTACCATTTCACCATGAAATAGGATGTTTGCTGTAGCTGTTTGTAAATTTTTTTCTCCCTAATAAAACCTTTTCCCTTCTAGTATTTTCTAGTGGGCTAAATTATTGTTACCAATGGATATTATTACCAAGTAATAGATTCATCACTGTTTTGTGTCTAAGGGGATGACTCATATAATCTTTTTTTTTTTTTGAGACAGAGTCTCACTTTGTTGCCCAGGCTAGAATGAGTGCTGTGGCGTCAGCCTAGCTCACAGCAACCTCAAACTCCTGGGCTCAAGCGATCCTGCTGCCTCAGCCTCCCAAGTAGCTGGGACTACAGGCATGCACCACCATGCCCAGCTCATTTTTTCTATATATTTTTAGTTGGCCAATTAATTTCTTTCTATTTATAGTAGAGACAGCATCTCGTTCTTGCTCAGGCTGGTTTCGGACTCCTGACCTCAAGCAACCTGCCCTCCTCAGCCTCCCAGAGTGCTAGGATTACAGGCATGAGCCACCGCGCCCAGCCCTACTCCATAAATGAATGGTTAGCCTATCGATACTGATTTCTTTTCCACTGGGAGTTGGTTATGCTTATAAATATATTAACAGATATACTAAACCAGCTGTGGATTTCTAGTGTTATCTGAAACAGTTTTTAATTCTGTTTCTATCCTACCACATAACCAGTCCTGACTTGCTAAAGATAAACATGTATTTCTTCTTATCCCTGCAATGTGCTGCTTTTTTTATACGTTAATAGCATGTACTACCACCTGATATATTTTGTTTATTTATTGTCCTTTCCCAAAAGATTATATAACATCCATGTGCTTCAGGATTTTTCTGTTTTGTTCAGTGCTTTATTCCCTGTGATTGCATGCAGTAGCACCAAGGTAAATATTACCTGAATAATTACGAAATAGAGGAGCAGGAGGTAAGGGTCTTAAGGGAAGCATCCTTCCCTGAGACGTAGGGCTCAGTCAGGAGAAAGCTCAAAGATAGCACATTTGAACAGAATTCTTCATTTTTCCATTCTCCATAGTGCCTCAAAGGGCTCTAGGCTCAATCCTGGTAATGTTAGCAAATAAAGGCCTTAGTAACAACTAAAATTTGAGGTATGTATTCAGAAATGTACTCATTGGGTTTTAGGTATTGAAGACAAATAGACCTGCATTCATATCCTGCCTCAGCAACTTTCTAACTGGGTAATATTAAGCATGTGGGTGATGGACTCTAAGATTCCTCAGCTATAACGTGGTTGTAATAATATCTGATGTGCAGAGTTTATATGAGAAATCCTCTAAAATATGGACATCTCTTTGCAAAGTTATTCTCCCATCAGCGCTGTTCAAATGGCACAAATTGTTACTAATGTACTAAAGAATGTTATAAATTTTTTTCTTATTGGCTATTTAAATATGCTACCTGTTCCACTGTAGTGGAAGTAACTTAAATTTTTATTGTTTGAAATTTGTGATATCACTGCAGAAACCACTATCAGAGATGACACAGATCAAGTATTCTTATTCTGCTACTGCTGTACTGTAAAGGCAGATTTAGCATGTGAATCAAGCATTGCAGTCCTGTCTGCCTCTGCATGTGGAATTCAATTGGTTGATGCTTTTTCTCAGAAACCAGGTTTTGGGGTACACTGCAGCTTATGGGCGTGGGGGCAGTGGTCAGCAGCCAACCAGTAATGCCTGTTAGCCAGCCAAAGAGTGCTGTGAAAACTAAGGAATAGTGGGAGTGAAACCCTCAGAAACCTGGTGCGTAAATCGTTACTTTCTTGGATTTGAGACAGGGAGTATATATTCTCATGGTTGAAGGCATTCCTTGATACATTTTATGCTTTTTGTTGTCATGGACAAATTCACAGCGAAACTTTTTTAGACCTCAGTTAACTTACAAAATAACACTCTCAAGTGTTATTTGAGCAACCTTGACCTTCTGATCCTAAAGGACCAGAGCACTGTTTTCTAGCTCTAGGGGAGATAAGGTTGGTCCACCTTCATAGAAGATCGGTGTGTGTTTGCTTGGGTGTCTTGGGTGTATGTGTGTGTGTATGTGTTTTGAGGGCAGTTGTCACTCATAATTAATGTGCTATAACATCAAGGCCCATGAGTGTGGGAACTGTGGGAGGTCTAGATTATGTTGCTTTCTGCCTTACCTTGACCTTTTGCTTTTTCTTTTTGCTTTTCTTTTCTTCTTCTTCTTTTTTTTTTTTTTTTTTTTGAGACAGTCTCACTCTGTTGCCCCAGCTAGAGTGACACAGTGTCAGCCTAGCTCACAGCAACCCCAAACTCCTGGGCTCAAGTGATCCTTCTGCCTCAGCCTCCAGAGTAGCTGGAACTACAGGCATGTGCCACCATGCCCGCCTAATTTTTTCTATTTTTGGTAGAGTGGGGATCTTGCTCTTGCTAAGGCTGGTCTCGAACTCCTGAGCTCAAACGCCTCGGCCTCCCAGAGTGCTAGGATTACAGGCACGAGCCACTGGGGCCAGCTAACCTTTTGCTTTTCTTCACGAAGGGGACATGGAAGAAGAAAAGACAACTGCTGAGTTACCAAAAAAGATGATACAGGTAAGTAACAGGTAATAATTCTCCAAAAGAATACTTTCATTCTCCAAGTCTCCTCCTAATTGTTTTAGAGCACAGGTCAATAATTTTTTCTGTATTGGACCACATTGTAAGTATTTTAGGCTTTGAAGGCCATTGAGTTCCAATAAAACTTTACTTATGCAAGCAGGTGGCAGGCTGGATTTAGCTCATGTGTCATAGTTTGCTGACCCATGGCCTAGAATACAAGAAAATAAGGGTCCACTATGGGTCTCACTTAAGAGTTGTGTTTCTGCAGGCTCTTGGGCCTCTCAAGTTTTCGAAAGGGGAAAAAAGAAAAGCTCCCGTTCCCTCAGTGTGTTTTTATTCATTAAAACCTTGTCCAGACTTGACTTGTGCTGATTGCTATGGCAGGAATAAGATAGCAAGCAAAATTGTATCTGTGTCAAGGAATGGTGTCAGTATAGAAATTACTTCATTTCTAGAACATGTCTCTTATTTTTGCCATATGTTCTGGACCATTCTGGACCATCTAAGACTGGAATTAGTCTATTGTGAAATATGTATTTGGTCTGTGTTCTGTTTCCTGGCACAGAGCCCCTAAAACCCTAGGAATCTCCAGAGCATTTGTGTGCTAATGAGATGAGTGGTGGCTGGTAGCCCCTAGACAACCTCAGGATGGGGGCTGGTTCAGAAAGATGGAGTCATGATTATTATTATTATTATTATTATTTTGAAACAGAATCTCACTTTGTTGCCCAGGCTAGAGGGAGTGCCGTGGCGTCAGCCTAGCTCACAGCAACCTCAAACTCCTGGGCTCAAGCGATCCTACTGCCTCAGCCTCCTGAGTAGCTGGGACTACAGGCATGCGCCACCATGCCCGGCTAATCTTTTTCTATATATATTAGTTGACCAATTAATTTTTTTCTATTTATAGTGGAGACAGGGTCTCATTCTTGCTCAGGCTGGTTTCGAACTCCTGACCTTGAGCAATCTACCCGCCATGGCCTCCCAGAGTGCTAGGATTACAGGCATGAGCCACCGCGCCTGGCCTTGGAGTCATGATTAGAGGGTTGGGACTTTCAGCCCTATCTTCTAACGTCTGGGGCCAGGAGGGGCTGAAGGTGAAGTTGATCACCAGTGGCCAGTGATTTACTCAGTCGTGCCTACATAATGAAGCTTCTGTAAAAACCAGAAGGACTGAGTTCAAGGAGCTTCTGGATGGCTAAACACATGGTGGTTCCTAGAGGGTGGCATGGAATCCCCAAGCCAGTTCCCGCCATATCTTGGCCTAACCATCTCTTCACCTGACTAATCATCTGTATGTTTTAAAATATGGTTCCAGTAAATTAATCCAAGCTAAGGAAGGGATAGTGGTATCCCTGATGTATAGTCAATCAGAATTATAAGTGACAACCTACTACTTGCAGTTGGCATCTAAAGTGACAGTTTTGTGGGGCTGAGCCCTCAACCTGTGGGATCTGATGCTATCTCCAGGAATATAGTGTCAGAGTTGAATTATAGGATACCCAACTGGTGTCCGCTGGAGAATTGTTTGGTGGGTGGTGAGAATATTTCCCCCGAACCCCGCCATCTGGAGTCAGAAGCATTCCATGCTATGTTAAATGACTATAAGAAAGTAGGGAAAAAATTTTGGTTTTTCCAATCTCATTACTATCAAATTGTGGGGAGACAAATTTAGCATTTTAGAAGTGTTACATTTATGAGACAGGATTTGATCAGTTAGGAAGTATGTGTGGATAGAGAAGGAATGAGATATGTTGACTGAGTCCTAGAGTAGATGGTGGGAGACCATAGAATCTTCTAAACTTTCTGTGAATTGGCTCTCAGTTCCCCCGTGTTGACAGCCTCACCCGTCCTCTTGTGCACACTGGAGGAGTTGTACCTTCTGAACAGAACTTCTGGGATGTTTTAGGACCCCGTGGTCTTTGAGGATGTGGCTGTGGACTTTACACAGGAGGAATGGGCTTTGCTGGATCCTTCTCAGAGGAACCTCTACAGAGATGTGATGCTGGAGAACTTCCAGAACCTGGCCTCACTAGGTAAGAACAACAGCATTCTTTTATGTAGTGTTTAGAAAACAATTTTATCTTACTCATTTGCTTCATTCTAGGGTTTGGGCTAAGGAATGGGAATACGTTGGTAAATAAGGCAGACGTGGTCACTGACCCCCACGAGCTCCCACAGTCTAGTGGCTTCACTGTGAAAATAAACATCTGTGTATTGAACTGACTTTTTCTTTTTCTTGTGGTTGAAAGCCTTAAGGCTTAAGTATTGAAAGTGTGGGCATAGACTTTAGGGGTCACTTTAGGACGTAAGGAGATGGTTTGTGGTTTGGGATCTTTTGAGAATTCTACTGTCATCGGTGCCCTTTGCCCAGAGACCACCAGGAACACACCAATAGTTAAAAAGTCGGATTGATTTTACTGTATAGCAAAGGACAGCACACACCTCTTACACATCTTAGTAGGAGGGTGTTCAAAAGTACCTACAGGATTTGTGCTTTGCTTGGGTGATTTGGGGATGGCTCTGTGGAAATAGTCTATATTAGTTTCCTGGGCCTTCTGTAACAAAGTACCACAAATGTGGCTAAAAACAACACAGTTTTATTTTTTCACATTTCTGGAGACTGGGAGTCTGAAATCAAGGTGTCAGCTGGGCCATGTTCTTTCTGAAGGCTCTAGGAAAAAAATGTCCCTTGTCTCTTCCTGGCTTCTGGTGGTTACTGGCAATTCTTGGATTTCCTTGATTTATATTAATAGATGCATCACTGCAGTCTCTGCCTCCATCTTCTTCCCTGCCTGTCTGTTTCTAAGTCTCTTTCCTTATAAGGGCACCAGTCATTGGATTTGGGGTCACTCTAATCCAGTATAATCTCATATTGATTATATATCTACAAAGACCCAATTTCCAAATAAGGTAACATTCTGAGGTTCTGGGTGGACTTTTTGTTTGTTTGTTTAATAGGCATTATTATTATTATGAGAGCAGTTTCAGGTTCACAGCAAAATTGAATGGAAAGTACAGAGATTTTCCGTATAACCCTTGCTCCCCCTTATACACGGCCTCCTCCACTATCAACCTCCCCCCCTGGAGTGGTGTATTTGTTGCCATTGAGAAACCTACACCAACACATCATCATCACCCAGAGTCCATAGTTTACATTTAGAGTTCACTCTTGGTGCTGTGCATTCTATGGTTTTGGACAAATATATAATGACATGTATCCACCATTATAGTATTAGAGTAGTGTCCCAGACCTAAAAGTGCTCTGTGCTCCATCCCTCCCTCTGCCTAAACTCTGCTGATCTTGGTACTGTTTCCATACTTGTTCCTTTTGTAGAATGTTGTATAGTTGGAATCATACAGTATACAGCTTTTTCAGATTGGCTTCTTTCACTTAGTAATGTGCATTTAAGTTTCCTTCATGTTCTTTTCATGACTTAAGTTTCCTTCACGTTCTTTTCTTGACTTAAGAGCTCATTTCTTTTTAGTGCTGAATAATGTTCCATTGTCTGGATGTACCATGGTTTATCCATTCACCTACTAAATGGACATCTTGGTTGCTTCCAAGTTTTGACAATTACGAATGAAACTATTACAAACATTCACGTGTAGGTTTTTATGTGGACCTAAGTTTTCAGTTCCTTTGGGTAAATACCAAGGAGCATAATTCAGTTGTTGAATTGTATGCTAAGGGTATGTTTAATTTTATAAGAAACTGCCAAACTGTCTTCCAAAGTGGCTGTACCATTTTGCATACCCACCAACAATGAATGAGAGTTCTTGTTGCTCCTTATCCTTGCCAGTATTTGCTGTTGTCAATGTTCTGGATTTTGGCCATTCTAATAGGTGAGTAGTGGTATCTTGTTTTAATTTGCTTTTCCCTGATGATATATGATGTGGAGTATTTGCCACCTGTATGTCTTTGGTGAGGTGTCTGTTAAGGTCTTTGGCTCATTTTTTTGTTGAATTGTTTGTTTTCTTATTTGTGAGGTTTGAGAGTTATTTGTATATTTTGGATAGCAGTCCTTTATCAGATATGTCTTTTGGGAACATTTTCTCCCAGGCTATGGCTTGTCTTTTCATTCCCTTGCTATTGTCTGTCACAGAGCAGAACAAAATTTTTAATTTTAATGAAGTCCAGCTTATCAGTTCTTTGTTTCACACCTTTGGTGTGGCATTTAAAAAGTCATTGCTGGCTTTGTGTGTTGGCTCATGCCTGTAATCCCAGCACTTTGAGAGGCCAAGGTAGGAAGATTTCTTGAACCTGGGAGCTCAAGACCAGCCTGGGCAACACAGCAAGACCCCATCTCTACAAAAATTAAAAAGTTAGCTGGGTGTAGTGGCACATGCCTGTAGTACCAGCTACTGGGAAGGCTGAGGCAGGAGAATTGCTTGAGCCCAGGCATTCAAGGCTGCAGGGAGCTATGATTGTGCCACTGTACTCCAGCTCAGGCAACAGAGTGAGACCTTGTCTCTTAAAAAAATAAAAGTCATTGCTAAACCCAATGTCATCTAGATTTTCTCCTCTTATCTTTTAGGAATTTTCTATTAATGGTTTTGTATTTTACATTTAGGTCTGTGATCCATTTTGAGTTAGCTTTTGTGAAGGGTGTAAGGTCTCTGTCCAGATTTTTTTTTTTTTTTTTGCATATGGACGTCCAGTTGTTCCAGTATGATTTGTCAAAAAGACTGTCTTTTTTCCACTGTATGGCCTTTGCTCCTTTGTCAAAGATCAGTTGACTCTATTGATGTGGATCTGTTTCTGAGCTCTCTGTTCCATTAAAATATTTGAACATGAATTCTGAGCGGACACTGTTTAACCTAGTACACAGGCAGTCACTTTAGATCGGTGACTGACAGAAAGTATGAGCAATTCTATTATTGAATATTTTGTGGGTGGCATATTACCTTTAAACAAAATTTTGTAGTAGCCTTGTTTTATTTAATTTCATCATGATCTCAGAATAACTTTGTCCAAGGTTGGTATTCCAGAAGATTATTTATGTTCGATAAGAGAACAAAATGCCCCGGCTGTGATTATCAGACTAGCTTGTAATAATATTGAGGTTTAGGTGTGAACGTTAGCTTGGTTCTGTGTGTCTGAGGCTGCTTCCTTCCCCCCCCCCACTGCTTTGTCTTAATAAATTTGACAGACATTTTGTTGCAGTTAAACTCATAGTTGACCATTTTTAGGGTGTCAGAAGACCAAAGTTTTGGTCCTATCTTAGAGAAATATTTGTGATTCTTCATTGTTTTCCTTCATGATATGCCTTTCTGCATGTGCAGGGTATCTGCTACACACACCCCATCTGATCTCCCAGTGGGAAAAAGAGGAGGACCTGCAGCCCATGAAGAGAGGAGTCATCCAGGGCATCTTTACAGGGGAGCACCATGAAGGCAAGAATCCTTGGGAGAAACTGTCCTGGTTGGGGAAAAAAATCAAATAAAAAAACTTTGTTTTATCTGAGGAGGCTGATCATCCACAGATATCTCAGATTACTATTTTGACTTTTTATCAATCCTCTCACACTTCCCTTGTTCTTCACAAAGACCTTTTATTTCCTCATTGCAAGTTAGTATTTGGTCATGTGCATTTTATATGATTCCTTTCTGTTTTGCTTTCCTAACGATAGCCTATAATAATCCTATAAAGGAGATCAGATCCTATAATCTCGTGTAATAACATAAGTATGTTAGTCTCAATCTTCATAGAATTATTTCGTAGTTAATTGCTTAACATTTCGTCCTTTGAGCCCATTTATACTGAAGTCCAGAAACAGCCACTCTGCTAAAAGTCCTTTGCTCACAGGTGCTTTTACTTTTTGTTTCAGATTTTGAGACTCAACTTAAAACTAATGAATCAGTTGTCCCACAAGATATTTGTGGAGAAAAAATATCCAATGAAGAGAAAAAAGTAAGATTAAAAAGAAATGATTCCTCATCCTCCATTTTACCTGAAAACTGGGAATACTGTGGTATTGATTATCAGAACAAAAGCCATGAGAGACATCTGAGGTGAGTACCATTTGTATAAGAGAAAATAATGCCACAGGAGAAAATCTTGAAATGCCATGAAATTTAAGAAACATGTTTATATAAGCCTAAGTCAAAAATTGTGATTTCACAAAGAATTTTCACAAGGTATTTTTCTTACAAATGAGACCGAGCTATCGAATGCTTGACACATAACTTAAGTTGTAAGCAATTATCAGGAAAATCCCCTAAGTTAAAAACTCAGTGACAATATTATGATAGAACCCCCTGTGAGAACTTTTAGTTTATAACTTGACTGGGCAGGAAACATATACATTCACTGAAAATGGTAAAAATTTATTACTGATAATGTACCTTTTATTTTTAAAAGAAATCATTTGGTGGAAAACATCTATCAATGTAATGAAGAAAATCAACATGGACAAACCTTTAGCCAAGTTCCAAATCTTGAAACACTCCAGAGAACTACTGAAATAAAATCCTATGAATGCCGTGAGTGTGGAAAGGCCTTCACGGATCACTCGTCCCTTAAGATTCACATCAGGTCTCATACTGGAAGCAAACGCTACCAGTGTAAGGAATGTGGGAAAGCCTTCCATTTTCTTGCTTGTTTTAAGAAGCATATGAAAACTCCCACTGAAGAAAAACCTTATGAGTGTAAGGAATGTACCACAGCCTTCAGTTGTTCCTCTTTCTTTAGGGCACATATGAAGATTCACACTGGAAAAACAAACTATGAGTGTAAGGAGTGTGGGAAAGCTTTTAGTTGTTCTTCATCCCTCACAGAACACAAAAGAATTCACAGTGGAGATAAGCCTTATGAATGTAAGGAATGTGGGAAGGCCTTTAGTTGCTCCTCCTCACTCTCCAAACACAAAAGAATTCATAGTGGAGATAAGCCATATGAATGTAAAGAATGTGGGAAAGCCTTCAGTTCTTCCTCTCACCTCATCATACATATAAGGATTCACACTGGAGAGAAGCCTTATGAATGTAAAGAGTGTGGAAAGGCCTTTAGCGAGTCCTCAAAACTCACTGTACACGTGAGGACACATACTGGAGAGAAACCCTATAAATGTAAGGAATGCGGGAAAGCCTACAATTGTCCCTCCTCCTTAAGTGTCCATATGAGAAAACACACTGGAGAGAAACCCTACGAATGTCTGGAATGTGGAAAATCCTTCTATCTTCCCACTTCTCTTAATACACATGTGAAAAATCAAAGTAGAGAGAAACCCTACGAATGTAAGGAATGTGGGAAGGCTTTCAGCTGTCCATCATCCTTTAGAACCCACGTGAGAGAGCACACTGGAAAGATACAATATGAATGTAAGGAGTGCGGGAAGGCCTTTAGTCGTTCCTCATCCCTCACTGAACACTTAAGAACTCACAGTGGAGAGAAGCCTTATGAATGTAAGGAATGTGGGAAAGCCTTTATTAGTTCCTCCCACCTTACAGTACATATAAGAACTCACACTGGAGAGAAACCTTATGAATGTAAGAAATGTGGGAAAGGTTTTATTTATCCCTCAGCCCTTAGGATCCACATGAGAACACACACTGGGGAAAAACCCTATGAATGTAAGGAATGTGGGAAAGCATTTCGTCATTCTTCCTACCTTACTGTACATGCAAGAATGCACACTGGAGAGAAACCCTTTGAATGTCTGGAATGTGGAAAAGCCTTTAGTTGTCCCTCATCCTTCCGAAGACATGTGAGAAGCCACACTGGAGAGAAACCCTATGAATGTAAGGAATGTGGGAAAGCCTTTGTTTGTCCTGCCTACTTTCGAAGACATGTGAAAACTCACTCTAGAGAAGACATCTAAATGTAAGGCATAGGGGAATGTCTGCAAGTCTTCTTCAAATCCTATGCAACTTGTGAGATTTCATACTGTGGAGACACCCTATGAATGTAAGAAAGTAGGAAATTATCGCTCAACTTTTTGGAGATTTGAGGACACCTTAGAGAAACCCGGTGTGTATAAATCATGTACTAAAGCCTTCATGAACATCAATTATTGTGTATAAGAAATGTCATACTAGAAATGAAGATCAGTGTCTCATCCTTAAAGTGGACTGCTGGCTCATTGATTTCCTGTGTTTTTGATATGAACATTTAAAGTGATAAAATTTACCTTTTTAGCTCTAGCCATAGTATGACGTGCTTTTATTTTGGCTTAGGTGTAAATATTTGCATTACAAAGTCTTCTGGATCATGGAGGATTCAAAGTATATTTTTTCATACAGAAGCAGGAATAGTCTTTTTTTTTTTCTTCTAATTACTGGTTTCTAATTAATGCCCATTGTTCTCTAAGTGTGTAGTCATTATGGTATTGACACTTTAATTTTGGTTGTTATTTTCTTTTTGGTCTAGTATGACAGATACTGGAAATTGCCTACTCAATATTTTTCTTCCCATTTTTTGCTTAACCAAGAGAACTTACAGTTTTTGAGATGATCGGTTTTTACTATTAAAAGTTTTTCATGCCTAATTAATTTCAGCAGAAATTAGTAAGTGCAAAGATCTTGAAAGAGGATGGTGTCATCTAATATGCTACTTTTATATTTTGCTCTTTGTCCTTGCTCATGGCTGGGAATTGGATCCAGTGTTTTGAGTTAGAAAATTATGTTGTGTTAACCTGGCTTAAAATGGGTGGGGACAACATGTCTCAGAATCACTTTTTTCCTCAGTTCTGGGTTATAGTTGTCTAAAATAAGAGTTTGTATGAGATTTGGAAGGTATAAGGGATGAAGTCATTATGCTATGTTTAGTGAGGCCATCAGACAAGGAGACAGATCTGGAAGGGCCTGATGGGCTCTATCTAGTTTTCATCTCATTTTTCTGATTATTGGACCCATTGATCAATACTTGCTCAAAACTGAACCTTAAGTGCTTGACTTCACTTTTCTCAGAGGCAGCAACTCCATAGACATCTCCATACACAGCTTTCTAGATTTTCTGGCAAGCTCTGGCATTGTTATTTTGCTGATATTGCAGTCCCTCTGGCACAGTGTGGGGCAGGATTGTTGTCCTGTGCATGGTCCAATCCCATGATGTCACTCTGCTCATGGGGAAAGACATCTTTGCAAACCTACTGTGATCTCAAAAGCAAGAAGAGCTATGGACAGTGAGGGAAATTATTCTAGATGTAATTGAAGTAAACATGAGACGGTGTCATCCCATTTTAGTGGTGGAAGATTTATATTTGACACCTTCAAACAGGGAAGATTTTACTGCTTTTTCATGTGAGAAGATGAACACTTTGAGCTGCTTCCGGTACATTTAGATGCCCTTTTTCCTTCTATTATATTTTCTCTAAAAGTCTAACCATAAAAGTCTTTTTCTAAAAGTCTAAAAGTCTTTTTCTCTAAAAGTCTAACCATACTACTTCTCCTTAATCACTTCTTACTGTTTTATAAAACAGAAATGTAAAGTATACATACACTAACATGCATGAAGTATGCTAATCTTCAGTGTACACGTTGATGAAATTTCACTTATGTATAAATCCTGGTAAACAGAACATTTCTAGGACTCCAGGAATCTCTTTAATCCTCCTCCTCCTCCATAATTAATTAATCCACAGGGACTACCACAATTTTGACTATTATTACAATTAATTAGGTTTGCTTGTTCTTAATTTTCATATAAGTTAAAATACAACATGTACAGTTATGTGTTTGGCTTCTCTTGCTCAACCTAATGTCTACTTTGCCTTTTAATTGCTCTTTTGGTAGACTTATACATTTTTCTCTTGGTATATGCTATGTTTTTAGGATTGAGATAACTGAATTATAGGATAGACTTTAAGTTTCGTTTTGGGAGGTATTCCAGTTTCCCAAAAATGTTGATTCCACCAATAATACCCCAAACAGTGCATGAAAGTTCCAATTGTTCCACATACCTGACCAGCACTTTCTATTTTTAGCCATTTAACAGAGGGCATGGTGGTAATTGTTTTGGGTTTTAATTTACCTGATACATAATGATTTCGAGTACTTTTTTTGTGTGCTTATTGGCTATTTGGATATATTTTATGAGGATGCCTGTTGAATCATTTCACCCATTTTTGTTTCCTTTTTTTTTAAAGAAAATTGATGGCTTTCTTTCTGGTTACTTGCCCTTTATTGTATATATGTGTACCTCTATATCTATATACATATGTATACATATATACAAACCATGTATTCTATATCATATATACACACAAAATATAATATGTATATTATATATACGTATATTACAGATAGCTTTTCCCAGTTTCTGTCTTGTCTTTTATTCCTAAAGAGTAAAAACTCTTTAAAGGGAACATGTTGGTTTGAATACTAAAAAGTCCTTGGGTACAACTAGCTTCAGGCATGGCTAGATTCAGGGGCTTAAAAGATACTATCTGGATGAGTTCTGTCACCATGTCTTGGCTGTGCATCCTCTTGCATTATCTTTTTCCAACCAGGCTGTCTCTTCATTGTTGGCCCTGGAGGCTCCAGGCTAATTACCTCCCAGGTTAAAGTCTCAGGGAGAAGAGAGTGGTTGTCTTTTTGAACATTTCCAGTATAATTATCAGCATTGAATGTGATCGGCTCTGACTGGCTCACTTGCCCACCATAATCCAAGGACTGTGGCCAGGGGAATGTAGTGCTCTGATTTGTTTAGGACTAGCTGCCATGCTTATCCAGAAACTGGGCTGGAGTCTGCACCAACTGAATACCCTACTATCTTAATTTATGTTGCTTTGTATGATAGTATTTTTGGAAATCATAGTGGGAACCTTCTAACTTTTTTATTCTTTAAGATTGTCTTACCTTCTCTATTCCTATGTTTCTATATTAATTTCTCTATTCATATGTTTCTATATTAATTTTAGAATGCCATTTTTCACAAGTGAATCTTCTGGGACTATGCTTGGAATTGGCCTAAGGAAAATTAACATCTTTACAATATTGAATCTTCCAATTGATAAACATGATGTTATTGTCCGTTTACCTAAATCTTCTTTTTTTTTTTTTTTTTTTTTTTTTGAGACAGAGTCTCGCTTTGTTGCCCAGGCTAGAGTGAGTGCCGTGGCATCAGCCTAGCTCACAGCAACCTCAAACTCCTGGGCTCAAGCAATCCTCCTGCCTCAGCCTCCCGAGTAGCTGGGACTACAGGCATGTGCCACCCTGCCTGGCTAATTTTTTCTATATATATTAGTTGGTCAATTAATTTGTTTCTATTTATAGTAGAGACAGGGTCTCGCTCTTGCTCAGGGTAGTTTCGAACTCCTGACCTTGAGCAATCCACCCACCTCAGCCTCCCAGAGTGCTAGGATTACAGGCGTAAGCCACCACGCCCGGCCAACCTAAATCTTCTTTAACTTTCCTCAGTGATGTTTTATAATTTTAATTGTAGTAGTCTTGAATACCTTTGTTTAATTTATTTCTAGATACATGGTACATTTTGCTTTGTAAATATTATTTATTTATTTTTCAATTCTTTTGGTTAGTACATAGGATTGCAGTATCTTATTGTACATTGACTTTATAACCAGTGACATTTATAAGTTCAATTATTTATTCAAATAGTTTGTGGATTATTTTGGATTTTCTATATGTATAATCCTGTTGTAACAATAAAAGAAAGTTTTACCTAATTTCTAAACTTTATCTTTTATTTATTTTCTTGTCTACTTCTTTTAGAGCAATGAATAAATAGAAATGATGAAAATGAACATCTTGCCTTGTTCTTGAACTTAGGGTAAAGGGTGCAATAGTTCACCATTAAGTATAATGCTACCTGTAGGTTGTTTATAGATAGGATTTATCAAATTAAGAAAATTCTGTTTTATTTCCAGATTGTCAAGATTTTTAAAAAATCGTGAATGGATATTGGATTTTATCTAGTACCTTTTTTGCATGTATCAGTGTCCTTAAAACATCCTGTCTGTTAAGATGGTGAATTATATATTCCTTGATTTTTTTCAAATGGTGAAACAACATCTATTACTGGAATAAACCACACTTGGACATGGTATATTAGCCTTTTCATATTGTTAGATTCAATATGCTACTTTTAAAAAGTTGTTTCTATGTCTGTGTTAATGAGAAGTTTGTCCTATGATTTCTTTTATCATAGTATACTTGTCTACATTTTGTATCAGGTTTATACTGTCTCATAAGAGGAGTTGGAAACTGTTCTGAAAGTTATAAAATTTGACCTATGTGTTCCCCATATGTTTAATTCACCAGTGAATCTATCTTTGGGTTTTTTTCACAAGAAGCTTTTATAAGATATCTTCACTGGTGACTTATACCAAGTACATAAATAGACAAAGAACTATTCAAATGTTATATTTATTCTTGTGTTAGTCCTGCTAAATTGTATCTGTCTATTCCATAACTTTTCAAATTCGGTGACATAAAGTTGTTGATAATATCCTGTGTTTTTAGTGTCTGAAACCTATAATGCTATCCTTTATTTTTCCTGATGTCATTTCTGTATTCTCTTCCTTTCTCTTCATCTTGTTATGGGTTTAGATATTATATTAATTTTTTCAAATTAATATAATTTGGTTATTTTATTAGGTTATTTTATTCTACATTGTAATTCTTTAATTGCTGGTCTTATTCCCTTCTATTATATTTAGGTTTAATTTTCTCTTATTTTTCTAGCTATTTGAGATATATCAGTGCCTGTCTTCTGCTGTGTCCAGTCTGCTTATAACTTCATTAAGTCCTGATATATATTGCCTTTTTTTCAAAGTCTAGACAAACTGGAAACAAAGCCCATGCCCATCAACAGGAGAGTAAGTAAACATGTTGTATAGCTGTACAACGGAACATTATTACTTAACAATTTAAAAAAAGAAGAACAAAGTATGAATACACACAACACCATGGATAAATCCTGAAATCATTATGCTGTGTGAGCATACTGCATACTCAGACAAAAAATAGCACTAATGGCTTGATTCTATGTATGTATAATATGAGAAAATGTAAACTAACATAGTAACAACAAAAAAGATCTTTTTTTGGTGATTTGAAGGAAAGGGAAGAGATGAGAAGGAAGGATTGCCAAAGGAAAGGAAGAAATTTGGTGGGGGCAGGAGGCTGATGGATGTGTTCATTATCTTAATTATGATGGTGTTTTTACAGGTTTACCAATATATCAGAACTCATCAAATTTTATACTTTAAACATGTGCAGTTTGTTGCATGTCAGTTATACCTCAACAAAGCCACTCTAAAATAAAAACAATGAACATCATTTGGTCCAAAATAGTTCTACTATATACAACTGCCAAATAGGTTCACTTCTCTCTAAATCCATTTCGTCCTGGTCCAACAGGCACCTGCCTCCTTCTAGACTCGCAGTGTCCACCCTCTCCCCCTAGACTCCATTCTCAGTACTGCATCCAGGGGATTCTATTTTAAGTATTACAGTATCAACCAAGTCCTGGAAGTGGCACTAGAAAGCAATGGTCTCTGCCCTCGCGGAGCGTACAGTTGAATCAAAGAACCACACAAATATATTATTACAAATGGAGGTCTGAGCCATTTGTTTGTTCACTCAACCCCACCTGATGGTGCTCCTTTCTAAATCACAGCTGGTCTTTCATCCCTCAGAGGCTGGCAGCTGTCTCGACTGGAAAGAACCTTTTCTCCATCCGGGAAACTCCTATTAATACATCAAAACCCAGATTAAATTTTACTTCCCTGACCTTCCTTTCTCTCACACCTCACGAAATAAACTCCTCCCTCCACTGTGCTACTACAAAAGTAAATAAGCCCCCGAAGCATTCATTCAACTCAAGAAGTCAGAGAAGTAAAATGAGCTGAGAAAGGAATTTGTAATGGGTGACAAAAGTAGAACTTCAATTAGAACATGTAAACCAGAATCAAGAAAGGAATCTGGGAACTGAATAGCCACATCTCTAGCCAATTTATTCAAGAAACAGAAAAAGACAATAAATGCTAATATCTAAAATCAGAAATAGAAAAGACGCTGTATGTAAACAGTTGCAGAGGGGATTTTTTAAAGAAAATATGATATACAACTCTATGCTGATAAATTTGAAAATCTCAGTAAAACTGAGCTTCCCACAAATATATACATTACCAAAATTAATTCAAGAAGGAGTAATGGATAAATAATGATGAAAGAAAATAAAGATATTATAAAAAATAGCTTCCAAAAAAGGTCAATTCTAAATAGTTATGCCATCATTTCACCTCCAAAAGTTCAAGAAATAAAGATTTCTAAAATAGATGGGAAATTTTCCTAATCATTCTATAAACAGCTCAATCTTGATAGCAAACCTGACAACTGACCAGAAAATTTCAAGCCCAAGTTGTCTTTTCTCCCTCTCTCTCTCTCTCTCTCTCTCTCTCTCTCCCTCTCCCTCCCTCCCTCCCTCTCTTCTCTCTCTCTCTCTCTCTCTCTCTCTCTTCTCTCCGTCTCTCACACACACACACACACACACACACACACACACACACAGAAATAGAGCTACAGTACTAAATAAAACTCAGGTTCCCATACTATTATCCATAATTCTGAACACCAAAAAGCTCTGCACACAGAATTTTGGGGGTAAGTTTGGCACCAATACTTAAGTTAGTAACCAACTTGAGAAAGTGATGTAAGCTTATTTATAATACTTATGGCATATAGGTGAATATCCATGAATTTTTACTGTTGAAATATTAATGTGCTTTATTACAAGGTCCTCCTATATACTTCACTAGAGGTGTTAGGTAACAATACAGTATATGCACTCTATTGTATATGTCTGTGTATCCTAATCATAATCCACCATGACCCTAGAGATTTATGCCAGGAACACAAGTGGGCAGCAATGTGCTGGAACTGGTTCCTAATGGGCCACTAGATTCCATAGTGAGAATGTTTTCCCAGCTTCCCATTCATTGCTATTACATAGATCTTGAAGTCACCCACAATGGAAATATTTACATCATAGGAATTGCCAAGTGCTACATATCAGGACTTCTTTTTGGCATTGGTCAACACTCCACTGAGCATTAGGACATCTTTTAAAGATAACCCCCTGTCAGTAGGTTTAAAAAATAATAATACATGTTCATGGCCAGGCGCGGTGGCTCACGCCTGTAATCCTAGCACTCTGGGAGGCCGAGGCAGGTGGATTGCTCGAGATCAGGAGTTCGAAACCAGCCTGAGCAAGAGTGAGACCCCGTCTCTACTATAAATAGAAAGAAATTAATTGGCCAACTAATATATATATGGAAAAACTTAGCCTGGCATGGTGGCGCATGCCTGTAGTCCCAGCTACTCTGGAGGCTGAGGCAACAGGATTGCTTGAGCCCAGGAGTTTGAGGTTGCTGTGAGCTAGGCTGACACCATGGCACTCACTCTAGCCTGGGCAACAAATCGAGACTCTGTCTCAAATAATAATACATGTTCATCTTCAAAGAAGTCAGATATTTGATCAAATCTTTATCTGCTTCTGGTATGAAAACAGTAAATTCTGGCTGGGTGCAGTGGCTCACACCTGTAATCCTAGCACTCTGGGAGGCCAAGGAGGGAAGATTACTTGAGGCCAGGAGTTCTAGACCAGCCTGAGCAAGAGTGAGACCCCATCTCTACAAAAAAATAGAAAAATTAGCTGGGTGTGGTGACTGGTGCCTGTAGTCCCAGCTACTCTGGGAGGCTAAGGCAGGAGGGTTGCTTGAGCCCAGGAGTTTGAGGTTGCAGTGAGCTATGATGATGCCACTGCACTCTAGCCAAGAAGAAAGAGCAAGACCCTGTCTCAAAAAAAAAAAAAAAAAAGAAAAGAAAAAAGTTAATTCATAGAGGAAGGGTATTTTTATCACCTAGATGTGGCAGTATAGTCTAGTTAAATGCACAGGCTCAGAAGTTCTATTGCCTGTGTTTAAACTCTGATTTTTTTGACTTTTAAGGGTTTTTTTTTTTTTTTTGATTCTCTGAGCCTGTTTCCTCCTACATAAATGGAATAATACCTCTGAAGGCTGTTTGAAAGAACTAAATGAAATAATTCCTGGAAAATGCTTAGAAACATTCCTGGCACATAGAAAGAACCTAATAAATAGTAGCTCTTGCCACAAATTATTAAATATGGTGGGGAAAGAGAATTCTTTCCTAATAAGAAATTGTTCTATCTCCACTACCACATTATTTTTAGCAGGGAAACACAAGCTTTTTTTTTTTTTTTTTTTTTTTTAGACAAACTCTCACTATTTTGCCTAGAGTGAGTGCCGTGGCGTCAGCCTAGCTCACAGCAACCTCAAACTCCTGGGCTCAAGCGATCCTGCTGCCTCAGCCTCCCGAGTAGCTGGGACTACAGGCATGCACCACCATGCCCGGCTCATTTTTTCTCTATATATTAGTTGGCCAATTAATTTCTTTCTATTTTTATGGTAGAGACGGGGTCTCGCTCAGGCTGGTTTTGAACTCCTGACCTTGAGCAATCCGCCCGCCTCGGCCTCCCAGAGTGCTAGGATTACAGGCGTGAGCCACCGCGCCCGGCCAAGCTTTTTTGTTATAATTAAGAAAAGAGTATGTTGCAATTATTAGAATTCCTGCTGTCATGACTAGTTAACGTTTAGCTGTTCTTCCTGTCTCAGTATAACAAGAAAAAAAGAAAAAGAAAAATAAGTATCAAGAGAAAAGGGGCTCAAATAACCTTCATTTACCAATGATTAACCTATTTACCCTAGAAAACCTAACCAAAAAACTATTAGGGTTAATTGGAATTTAGAAAGGCAATAAGACACAAAATAAATTCTTAAATAATAATAGTTTTCTGGCAATAATCAGAAAATATAATTGGAAAATGGCCCCTTTTTTAACAGCAATCCAAAATATGTATAATCTAGGAATAAATTTGATAATAATTGTATAAGATTGGTATAAATGAAATCTCAAAGTTGTAAGGAATATAAAAAACTAAACAAACATTCCTGGGTGGGAAGAATATTTTGACGCTATCTCTGTGGTATAGGCAAGACAAAAGAAAGCTATATAGAAAAACAGAAAACCCTTAGACCCACATAGAGATAATTACTTGGTATTTATCAATGAAGAACCTCAAATCAGAATGCAGTGGCTACACATTTGATCAATGGATCCAGGACAAATGACTAATCATTTGGAAAAAAAAGTTAAGTTTGACCTTCAACCCATACAACAAAATTAATTCCAGATGGGTAAAAAGTTAAAATGGAAAAAACTACACTAACACACTGCCGAAAGAAAGATGATTTGCCAAAGGTATAAATTATAAAGGAAAAGATTGATAAATTCGACTACATAACATTTTTAAACTTCTAGAAGCCAAAAACCATTTTCAAAATCTTAAAAGAGAAAAAGAAAAACTGGAGAGGAACATTTGAAACATATTTGTCAAAGGATACTTTATTGTATGAGAATTCTTAGAAATCAATAAGGAAAAGATAAAAGAACAGAAGGTCAAGAAATACACAAAAATGTTCCACTTGTTAATAAATATTTGCAAATTAAAATGAGACATCATATTTGTCTATCAGTTTGGCAAATCATAGTAATACCTGGTGCTGGTGAAGATGTGGAGAATAGAGTAATCTCACACAATGCACATGAGAAAATAAATAAGGTCATTCATTTCTGAGGTCAATTTTATTATATGTGTAAAATATGTACAGAATTTTACACATATAATAAATGTGTATAGAATGGACTATCCTGGAGTCTTTCAAAGATTCACATCTATGACCCAGCAATATGTATACATTGAGTTGTTCCTCATCCTGTTTTGAGTCCTACTGTCTGTTGCCTCTGAAATATTAGGAGAGGGCAGTAAAGTAAATGTTGGAGTTGATTTTTATCTCTGCTTTTTTTGAGACAAGGTCTCCCTCTGTCACCCAGGCTGGAGTGCCGTGGCCTCATCACAGCTCACTGCAACCTCCAACTCTTGGGCTCAAGAGATCCTCCTGCCTCAGCCTCCTGAGTTGCTGGGACTACAGGTAGGAGTCACTAGGCCCAGCTAATTTTTTTTTTCTTTTCTTTTTTAGTAGAGACAAGGTCTCACTCTTGCTCAGGCTGGTCTCGAACTCCTGGCTTAAAGCAAGCCTCCTGCCATGGCCTCCCAGAGTGCAAGGATTACAGGGGTGAGCCACCACACCCAACCTGTTATCTCTGTCTTCTCAGTTGTTCTGTGTCTTTAAGGATTTACTCCATGCCAGGGGCTCCCATAGAATCTTCTTGGCAATTCTGAAAACATTCCACAGATATTTATTGGGCACTTACTATGTGCCAGGCACAATTCCACGTGCCTGGGGTATAACATGGAGTGGAACAGGTGTTGGGAGAATCAGGCATTAAACAACTAAGCAAGGAAATACAGAATATAATTCCAGGCTGAGATCAGTGCAACAAGGAAAACATAGGGTGATATCATGGAGCATAATGGAAAGAAGAGCAACCTTGGAATGGGTAGATTGGGAAAGCTTTCATGAAGAGGTGGGAGTGATCATCTCATTCAACAGATGAAAAAAACCTGAGGCTCAAAGACAGCAAGGGACAGGGATAGCACTTGAGCCAAGTGGCCTCATTTCTGTCTTCCAATGCTCAGTAGACATATTGGCTTATGCCAGCACAGGCCAGCAAACTACGGCCCACAGGTCATATCCGGCCCACCTCTTGTGTTTGTAAATAAAGTTTTATTGAAACATAACCACACCCATTTGCTTACATAGCATCTGTGGCTGCTTTCATGGGTTGAACTATTGTAGTTCTGTAGTCCCAGCTACTCCAGAGGCTGAGGCAGGAAGGAGGATCCCTTGAACCCAGGAGTTTGAGGTTGGTGTGAGCTCTGATGACACCACTGCACTCTAGCAGGGGTGACACAGAGAGACCCTGTCTATATATATATATACATATATACATATATATATATATAGAGAGAGTCTGTTGAGCACCTTCCGTATACCTCGGGGTAGGGGTGTCTGTGTTGGCCCTCAGCTCTGGAAGATGTTCCTGGGGTGGGGGTGGGGACTTGAACTCGATTCGGGAGTCAGGGAGGGTGACGGTGGAGTGAGACTCCCACGGACTGGTGCACAAGCGCACATGTCACACCCCGCCTCTCACTCCCCCGCGCCTTCCCGAGCAATCGTTACCCCCAAAGTAAGAACAACATGCTGGGAAAACTCAAGGGGCGCTAACGTCTTACAAAGTGGGGGCACCTACAGGCTTCTCCCCGGGGCCTCCTGCCCCCTCAGCGCCCCCACGTGGCGATCCCAACACGCTGGAAACCCAGCGTCTGCCCTTCCCCCCCGCCGGCTTCTCCAGCATCCTCTCCGGCACAGGTAAGAGAGGTTCTGCCCTCCCAGGTGCGCAGGCCACCCGAGTCACCGTCAACGCCCCACGGGCCGCCCGCAATCTCCAAACCGTACCCAATCTCAAAGTTTACCACTAGCTCAGTCTGCTAAACGTACCCAGAATCCAACCATTTTTCCTTCCCCTGCTGCCTTACCTGCCCGGGTTCCAACATCTGCTCACCTGGACAGGCGGAGTCGCCTCCACGCTCGTCCCCGGCTCCACCCTCGCCCCCCACGGGCTGTCCGCCCTGAAGCAGCCACCAGAGGGCGCCCGTGAGCACCTGAGTCCGGGCCTTTCCCTCCTCTGCCCACAGCCCTCCATGGCTCCCACCTTCCTCCGGGCCAAAGCCCAAGTCCTCCCCGCAGCCCACCAGGACCTGCACGACCTGCCCTGTTCCCTCCCCATCTTCCCCTCTTCCCTCTTAGCCCCGTGCTCACTCTGCTCTAGCCACACGGGCCTCCTCGCTGTGCCTCCAACACACCAGGTGCGGTCCTGCCCCGGGGCCTTTGCACAGGCTGTGCTCTCTGCCCGGAGCTCTCCCCTCACTGATATTCCCACATCTCACTCCCTTACTTCCTTTACTTTAACCTGTCAATTGTCCCTCTCATTCCCCTATGGCCTCCCTGGGAGCAGAGACTGTCTTTTCCTTTCTTTCTTTCAACAAATGTGTATTGAGCACCTACTGTGTGCCAAGGGCAGGTGCCAAGGATGCAGCTGGCAAAGGAGAGAGACAAAAGCCACTGCCCCCAAAGAACATGCATCTGAAGGCAGAGGCAGATGGAATGCATAAACCAAGGAATGACTGCAGAGAGTGGCAGGAAATCAATGAAAATACAGAAAACAGGTTAGCCTTGAGGCAATGGGGAGCCATGGGAGGTTTTATACAGAGGGTGGCAGGGTCTGGGCTTTATTTTAGAAAGTTCCCTCTGGCTGGGCATGAGGAGAATGAATAGAGGGTATACCCCTGGAGGTTGGGAGGCCAGCAAGGTGGCAGTGCTGTCATTCGGGAAGACAGGACGGTGGCCCAGGCACAGGAGGAATAAAAGGGGGTGCCTTTGAGAAGCCAGGCCTCTGTGGGTGCAGTGGGGAGCAGAGGGTGTCCCCTCCACCGTGCACATGAGTCTGGGTCACTGGCAGAGACAGGTAGGGTTAGCAATACGAGTGCCCGGCTCCCGGGCGCCGTGGCTGACACAGGTACACGCACGCTGGCTCTGTCTGGTTCTTAATGAGGCAGATGTTCTGGGGAGTTCTGCACACTGCCGCCTCTGGGGGACAGTGTGTCGCAGAGCCTCCCCCCGCTGAGCCTCAGCTTCCTCGTCTACAAAATGGGCCCAACAGGACCTGCCTCCCAGGATGGGGATGAAGGTTAGATAAGATGACGTGAGTGACACAGAAAGTGCGAGGGAAGGGAGACCCCTCTTTTACGACTCATACCCATCTCCGGAAGCCACTGCAGCACACGTCTTGCCATTGGAAGCACAGAACGAAACGACACCGTGCTTCTGCGGACATCTCGTGATGAGCACGTTGAGTTATCGGGTTATATTAAGATGCGGTTTTCCTGTTGAAATCTCTCAAGTCCCTTGTGGTTTCTCTGGGGGTCTGGCAGCTGGTGAGGGTGACTTCTCAGCAAAAAGTGGGCTGGAGAAGGGACCCCACCCGCCCCCTCCCACCCGGAGTTACCACCAGACTTGGGAAGCCAGCCCCCCAGGACTCAGAACTTACCACAACGGGTCCCCCGGGGTAGGGTTGCCACATTTAGCAAATAAAAATATAGGATGCCCAGTTTCTTACGTTTTTATCTGGCAACCCTATTCCTGAGTCCACAGGCGTGCTAGGCACCCTCTCTTGTCTGAATAAATGATGAGATGGGAGGAGAAATCGCAGACAAGTCCTAAAGAAAGTAAACTCTATTTCACAAACAAGGTGACATAGCAGGTGCTTCCAAAGGGCAGCTGCAGATATGAACTTTAAGGCCTAGACATGTTCAGGGGAGGGTTTCTATTATATGACAATATGCACCAGCACCCTTTTCTCTGCATCTCTGCCAGCAGTGGGTGTTAATACTTTTTAATGTGTTTTTTTTATTTTTTATTTTTTTATTTCAGCATATTATGGGGGTACAGATTTTAAGGTTTCAATAAATGCCCTTCCCTCCCCCACAAGTCTGAGTTTCCAGTATGACCATCCTCCAGATGGTGCACATCTCACTCATTATGTATGTATATACCCGCCCCCTCCCCCTTCCCCCTGCCCAATACCCTATTACTGTAGTACCTATGTGACCACTTAGGTGCTGCTCAGTTAATACCAGTTTGCTGGTGAGTATATGTGGTGCTTGTTTTTCCATTCTTGGGATACTTCACTTAGTAGTATGGGTTCTAGCTCTAACCAGGAAAATATAAGATGTGCTATATCACCATTGTTTCTTAGAGCTGAATAGTACTCCATGGTGTACATATACCACATTTTATTAATCCTTTTTTTTTTTTTTTGAGACAGAGTCTCACTTTGTTGCCCAGGTTAGAGTGAGTGCCGTGGCGTCAGCCTAGCTCACAGCAACCTCAAACTCCTGGGCTCAAGTGATCCTCCTGCCTCAGCCTCCCGAGTAGTTGAGACTACAGGCATGCACCACCATGCCCTGCTCATTTTTTCTATATATACATATTAGTTGGCCAATGAATTTCTTTCTATTTATAGTAGAGACGGGGGTCTCGCTGTTGCTCAGGCTGGTTTCGAACTCCTGACCTCGAGCAATCCACCCGCCTTGGCCTCCCAGAGTGCTACGATTACAGGCGTGAGCCACTGCGCCCGGCCTTTTTAATGTTTTTTAAATCACTTTATTTTTACATGTTTTATGGCTTGAAACCTTTTGTTCGATTTTAGAAAAATATTTGAAATAATTGTGGACAAATGAAACCTGTAGAATTTTACAAATAGATTTTCTAATTTTTATTATAATTTTAACTTCACTAAGGTAAATTAGATAACACTCTTTTTTGTAGTTGCTGTTGCCTCTCTCATAGTTGTGAATTGAACAACCCATTATTACTGAAATTTGCACTTTGGGGACTATATTTGTATACATTCTTTGGTTCTTGGTTGTGCTTTTCTGAGACATGCCTGTTTGTATTTTTTCTCAATTTTCTATTTGTTGTCAGTCTTTTTCTTGTCAATGTGTGAAAACTCTTTATATATCAAGGTGAAACCCCTTCTCAGACAACCAACTGATCTTTATTTATTGGTTTTGTTTATGCTATTTCCCTAGTAATTTATAAAATGATTTCCCTAAGTTAGTGTATATTTAAGATATGTTTATTATACGATTATATAGATGTTTTATTATATATTTCTGTCTTTTTATTCATGGTTTCTGGGCTTCCTAGCTTAGATTTTTTTCAAAAATGTGTTGTAAAATTCTTTCTACGATCTATATTGGTTTATTTTTCGCATTTTTTCTTTAGCCTGTCTGGAAATTTTGTGTTTTATCCGTAGCACAGAAATATTTCTGGCTACCACAGCTCTACCAAAACTGAGAGAAGGAATAGCAGGCCATGTCCCTCACTAACTCGGGCTGTCACTTGACCTCTGCAAGCCTTTGGGATTTTTAAACTAGCCTGATTTGTTTTTGGGGGTTTTGGGGTTTTTCTCTCTGTGGCCTTAGCCTGGCCAGGTAAAAAGCCACGAGGACGTGCTGCCCTCCAGTGGCCGTCTCGGTGATAGCAGCTACGGTGGGAGGAAAAAGCCACCCTTAAAACTAAAAACAGGATGAGTTCACAGGTGCTTGTTTAAAACCCTCCAGTGGTACATACCTAAAAGTTGAAAGCAGGGACTCAAACAGTCACTTGTACGCCCATACTCTTTTTTTTTTTTGAGGCAGAGTCTCGCTTTGTTGCCCAGGCTAGAGTGAGTGCTGTGGTGTCAGCCTAGCTCACAGCAACCTCAAACTCCTGGGCTCAAGCAATCCTCCTGCCTCAGCCTCCTGAGTAGCTGGGACTACTGGCATGCACCACCATGCCCGGCTCATTTTTTCTCTATATATTAGTTGGCCAATTAATTTCTTTCTATTTATAGTAGAGACGGGGTCTCGCTCTTGCTCAGGCCGGTTTCGAACTCCTGACCTTGAGCAATCCACCCGCCTCGGCCTCCCAGAGTGCTGGGATTATAGGCATGAGCCACTGTGCCTGGGCAATATTCTTATCACCAACAGGTAGAAACAACCCAAATGTCCTCCAACAGATGAATGGACAACCGCAATGGGGCCCATCCATGCGACAGGGCAGTATCCAGTCTTAAAAAGAAAGGAAATTCTGACACCTGCTTCAAGATGAACCTTGAGGACATCCTGCTCCGTGGAATAAAGCCAGTCACAGAAGGGCAGATCCCGTGGGACTCCACTCACAGGAGGCCCCTGGAGTGGTCGATCTACAGAGACAGAAAGTAGAACGGTGGGTGCCCCGGGGGCTGGGGAGGGGGCGGGGTTCGTGTTTCCTGGGGACAGAGTTTCCGGTTGGGAAACTGAAAGTTGCACAACAATGTGAGTGCTGCGCGCCACCGAGCTGTGCACTTAAAAATAGCTCAACTGGTAAATTTTATGTCATGTCTGTTTTGCCACCAACACATGCAGGAAAAGAGGGGGGGTGCTCCTTGGGGGTGGGAATGCCTGTCCCCCGGGGGTTATCGGGTCACACGCCTGGCTCCTTCTGGGCATTCAGGCCTCAGCTCCCACGGCCTTCCCCCTGACCTTCCTGGCGAGAGCAACCCCCCCACCTGCTCTCTGTCTCCTGGCTGTTTACTTCCTGTCACCGCAATTCACACGGTCTGCCTTCGCCCCGCTGGGTGTGTTTCCTGGTTCAGGGTTGGCCTCCCCTGTGAGCTCCGGCAAGCAATGTGGGTCAGGTCGTGTCTGGCCATCCCCATGCCTGCCACGGTGCCCCGTACACAGCAGGCGCTCAATAAGTGCAGGTTGCATTAAAGAAACAATCAGTTGGCTGCAGAATGTGTGTGTGCGAATCTGCGCATGTCTGTGTCTCCTTGAGTCCCATGTGTCTCTTGTTTGTGTGACTTTGGAGGGTCCCTTCTGTGTCCCCAGGGATGAGTGTGCAGTTACGGGTCAGTGAGTGCTTGTGTTGAGGGGCTTCCGGGTCTGTGCGGTTGTGGCATTACAGAGGGCGGGGTCACATGGCAACCAGTGTGCAAGTCCGTGTCTCCACGGGTCTTCTCAGAGATGTGCAGCATCTGCCCGTGTGTGTGTATGTGTGTGTGCGTGTGCATGCGTGTGTGTGTGCATGCGTGTGTGTGTGTGTGTGTGTGAGCCACTGTAAGTCTTCATGTTCATCCAGGAGCGTTCATGATGTGTGTGTCTTCACACATGCTGAGGGCTGTCCCAAGCCTGTGTGTTCCTCGGCGTGTCCTGCATCTGTCTTTGTGTCTCCTCATCCTCTCTGGCCCCTGAGTCCTGTGTGTGTCCCCCGTGCCTGTGCGTGTGGCTCCGTGTGTCCCCGTGCATAAGGCTGCGATCGCACCCTGTGCGTGCCTGGACACTCCCTGTCTCTGCTGTCGAGGAAGCCGTGGGCCACCCACACCACGTGTCTGTGCGTGCGCTGCCCTGTGTGGTCTGTGCGTGGGTATCTTCGCGCCTGTGGGCTGGGTGGGGGACAGGGGAAGCCTGAGCCTCTCTGCAGGGCCCCGTGTGCCTGAGCACCCACCCCAGTGACATGCTGGGGCCGGCTCCAAAGCCAAGTCCAAGCCTTTCCTCCCAACTCCGTGCGGAGACATTGCTGGGCAGCTGAAACCACACTGCTGGGCGTGTTTACACCAGGAGAATTGGCCGACGCAAATCACAGAGGCGGCTGTCAGATGCTTACCGGAACCCCACGCGGACCCACGGGCTTCCACACGCCCCCAGAACCACGCGTGTTTCTCTCTCCCTGTGTGTGTGCCCACAAGCCGGTGTGTGCTCGTGGGTGTCTGAGTGCCCACGTCTCTGTAGATACACGTGACTTGTGTGTCCCCGTGTCTGTGCACCCATGTGCCCGGGTGAGGCCCCCACACCCTGTTCCTCTTTGGCAGTTGGTTCCGCAGGAAGCTGCCGGGGTGGGGGTGAGGGTGCCGGGCCTCCCCAGACCTCCCCACCCCTTCTCCTCGGGACACCTGCAGGCCCGGCCAGGAGGGGCGGGGGAGGGGCTCCTGCTTCTAGAACTCCTGTCCTCTGTGCCCGTCCCAGCCACCCGGGTTGGCCCGGAGTGGGGAACCGAGGCAGAGGGTAGGCGGGCAGGCAGGGCTGAAAAAGAGGAAGCTGGGGTACAGCCGGTGCCCCTGTGGTTGTGGCAGGCCCCTGCCGGCCAGCATTCCCCTTGGACTGACCCGAAACCCCAGCCATGGGCCGCGGGCGCGGTGGCGGGAGCAGGTAGCCGGGCTGGGCACCCACGGCACCGAGAACCCGGCTGCATCTGGTGAGTAACCATCCCGCGACGTGGAGCAACAGGGACAGAGAGGCAGTGGGGTCCAGGGTGGGCACGGGGGACCAGGGGACTGCAGACAGACAGACAGATCGTCCCCGCCTCTCTCCACCATGCAGCCAACCCGTGTCCCCAGCGGGCTGGGGGGGGGTGCTGTTTGCGTCTCCCGTTCATCCTGCAGAGACCTGTGGTCCTAAGAGGTCACCGCAGGGGACAGGGCTCCGTGAGGAGCAGCTAGGTCAGAAAGGAGGATGGAGCCCTGTCGCCAAGGGCCCTCCCAGGGTTCCAGCCCTCCCCGCCCCCACCCCGCAGGGCCTCCTCCTCGCAGGCTCTCGTGGGTGGGGCTGAGAATCCAACTTTGAAAACAAACTTGCCCTCGAGGTTGGCCTCTGAGCAGCAGCCCTGGGAAGGGTCCCATCCTGCGTCTGCCGAGGTCATGGGGGGGATGACCCTCTTCCACACTAGCAGTCTTGAGGAGGGGGGGCCCTGCCTTGGGACACACGCCTGTCTCCCACCGCGGCCCACCTTGGGGAGCCAGCCCCCCGCTCCAGCGCCCGCTGGGACGGCAGGGCCCGGTGAGAGAGGAAGCCTGCGGTCTGTGCCCGGCACACACCCAGGTCTGTGGCTTCCGGCCGCCCTCCAATACTGCAGGCGTTGGGGGGCCAGGACGGTGGCCCCAGAGCCGGGAGGACGGGTGGATTTGGAGTCTGTGGCTGGGGACAGAGAGCAGGAGCCGGTGAGTTCTAGCCCGGGGCTGATGCTCCAAGGCTGGGTCACCTGCCGGTCCCAGGAAAGGACTGGGCAACCAAGGGAGGTCAGGGGAGGCTTGCCACTACTCACAGCCACCTGACTGTGAGTCCCTCTGGAGGGCTTCCTGGCAGAGGCAGCCTTTGCTCTAGGCGTTGAAGAGCCCGTAGAACGTCAACTGCAGACACCTCAGTGCGTCTGGTCTGGGCTGTCTCCACGCACCTCCTGCCGCCCCTGCCACCCGCAGCCCCTGACACGGGGATAGACACGTGCTGGGGTTCAGGACTGTTGCAGATGATATGATGGCTGTGCCGGACAGCTGGGGGTTCAAATCCCAGCTCCCTTGCCTCTGTGCGGCCACGGGCAAGTGACTTAACCTCTCTGGGCTTTCGCTGGCTCACCTGTAGGAGGTCTCAGCACGGTGCCTGGCACTTAGTAGGAACTCAGAAAACACTGCCGGCTTCTCCTTTCCTTCAGACCCTGTCCTTGTTCCCAAGCCTGGCTTCCTGGGACTTCAGCCCTAGGGAGAGTCCCCAGGACAGGGACCTGGTTTGGGCTTGAATGATGGGAACAGAGTGGTACGGAATGATGGGAACAAAGGATGAACAGAGGTGGTTCATCGATTTAAGAGAAATATTTGTTTGAAATATTTGTGACTGAGCTCCCCTCTGTCTCAGTTTTCTCATCTGTACAATGGGAGTGATTGAAACACCACCACCAATACCACCCCACCGTAGAGCGGTTGGAGACTGAGTCAGTTGGACTAGTGCCTGGCATGACCTAAGCTGTAGTTAAATGTTGACATGTGTTGCGGTTACTTCAACCCTGGGTTTTAGGCTGGTGTGGCCCACCTACCTGGCTCTCGGTAGGCATCTTCTGCTCTGTCACTTTCATGGTCCGGAGTCTAACCTGTATCTAGACCAGCCCACCTGGACTTCAGGCCCCAGGGGATAGGTTATATGTTCCAAAACTGGCCACAATCATATTTTCAATCCCACGCACTCTTTGGGAATCTTCTCTTCCCTCGTTAAGAGGTGGGGTGAAGGGAGAGCCCCTCCCCTTGGACCTTCAAGAGTATCTCAACTAATAGAGTATAGCAGAAGAAATGCTAGCTCATAAAAACAAGGGTCTCTGTCTTGAGACATGCATCTTTGGAGCTCTGAGTCTCCAAGCAGGAAATCCAGCTTCCCTGAAGGGGCCATGCTGGAGGTACCATGAGAAAAGACCACCACAGAGACAAAAAGAGATGCTCATGGAACCCTAGCTGTTTGAGTCTTCCCAACCATGTGAGTGAAGGCACCTTTGAGAGGGTCCAGCCCCAGCCTGTGTCTGACTAGAATGTCACAAGCATCCCCAAGCCAAAAACCACTTGATCAAGCCACTCCTGAATCCCTACCCCCTAGATATCTTGAGAAACAACAAAACAATTGTCATTGCTTTACACCACCAAGTTTTGGGGTGATTCATTATGCTGCATTCCCTGACCAGAGGACCTTGCATCACTGCTATGTGTTAGTTACCTTTTGCTATGAATCGAACTGCCCCAAAACTTAGTAGCTTAAAACAATAGCTGCAGATTTAGCTCTTCATTTGTTGAGTCAGTCCGGTGGTTCTTCTGGTCTGGGCTAAGTCAGCCAAACTCTGCTGGAGTCACTAATGAAGTCTTGGGACTCTGTCGTGAGAGCTTCTCAGGAATGTGTCCTATCTGGGGACCAGGACACCATGGTGTCAAAAGAGGGTACCCTTACCAAGATGGCAGTCCCCATCAGCATGATGATGAGTGCCCTTACCAAGATGGTGGGTTCCCTCTCCAGGATACTGGGTGCCCTCACCAAGATGGTGGGTTTGCTCACCAAGATGGTAAATGCCCTTAATAAGATGGTGGATGCCCTCACCAAGATGGCGACTATCCCCACGAAGATGGCAGATACCTTCCTCAAAAGAGAGCACATTCCATACCCTGCACCCCCACCCAGACCCTCCACTTCCTCTTTCAATCATTTAGTAACACCCAGGATCAGAAGATCACCCTTTGACAGGCCAAAGGGGCGACTCACAAACTTACAATAACCAGCTTCAGGCTTGGTTACTTGGGAGGCTGAGGCAGGAAGATCCTTTGAGCCCAGGAGTTTGAGACAGCAGTGAGTTTTTGTTTTGTTTTGTTTTGTTTTTTGTTTTTTGAGACAGGGTCTCACTTTTTTGCCCAGGCTAGAGTGAGTGCCGTGGCGTCAACCTAGCTC